CTGTGGGTGGCCCTCATCGAGAAGGCGCTGGCCAAGCTGCACGGCTCCTACTTTGCCCTCCAGGCAGGGCGCGCCATCGAAGGCCTGGCCACGCTCACCGGCGCCCCCTGCGAGAGCCTGGCGCTGCAGGTCAGCTCCACTAACCCCCGCGAGGAGCCCGTTGACACTGACCTCACCTGGGCCAAAATGCTGAGTTCTAAGGAGGCTGGGTAAGAGGGGCGGGCACTGCGGCGGCCGGCGGCCCTGGGAGGAGAGGCGCGGCGAGGTGGAACGGTGGGACGCCCGGGGGGACCGCGCCTCCGACCTCACCCCGCGTCCCACGAGGTGCTTCCTGTGCAGGCTGACAACAGTTTGGAGGCCCGGCCAGGCCACAGCCCACTCCAGGAAAAGCCCCTCCTGACCCGGGCCTGTGGTGGGGAGCCCAGAGGACATCACTTCCGCCCAGTTAGGGCAGCGAGCCCCATGGGCATGCAGGGAGGGCTTTCTGAGGCCGCCGCACACGGGGCGGGCATGTCTGCTCGACCTGGAAGCTGTGACCCCAGGGCCTGCAGAAGGCCTGGACAGGGAGGGCAGGCACCTTGGCTGCTGCACGACACCACTGCCCACCCTCCCACTCAGGGAGCTGCATGCCGGCCCTCCAGGGTCTCACCCAGGGAGGGGCTGCTCAGCTCTTGAGCACGAGTGTCTCACGTGTGTCCTTGGGACCGAGCCCCTACAGGGAAGAGGGAGCCCCTGGGTGCAGGGCCCAGGCCGGTGAGGGCCCCCCCCAGCCATGCCCCGCCCCCATCAGCAGGGCCCCTCTACTCGCAGGTTCCTCATGGGCGCCTCCTGTGGGGGAGGCAACATGAAGGTGGACGACGCTGCCTACGAGAGCTTGGGGCTGCGCCCCCGCCACGCCTACTCCGTGCTGGACGTCCGAGACGTCCAGGGCTCCAGGTAGGGCCAGGCTGCTTGTGGTACAGGTGGGAATGTGTGGGGCATGGCCAGAACCCCAGAACACTGAGCCCCATGGTCCACAGGCTCCTGCGGCTCCGGAACCCATGGGGCCGCTTCTCCTGGAATGGCAGCTGGTCCGACGCATGGCCACACTGGCCGGGGCACCTGCGGAGCGAGCTCATGCCTCACGGCAGCAGTGAGGGCGTCTTCTGGATGGAGTACGCGGACTTCCTCAGGTGCTTCCTCCAGATAGACATGGTGGGTGGGGTGCGGCACCTCCAGCCTTCTCCGGGCCCTGACCACGGGACCGGTGGGGCAGGGGCTATGCTCGCCAGGCCTCTGCGTCTAAGCCTTCAAGTCTTGGCCTGGCACTCCCTACTGGGAGAAAACATCCCTGAGGGCTTCCCCAGACGCAGGTCCCCGAGACACTTGTCATGGGGCTGTCTGGTGCCTGCGGGGTTGACTGGCCTTGAATGGTACAAGGAACTGGGCAGCAGAGGCCTGGTGGACACCCAGTCCAGGGCTCAGCCTGGGCCTGCCTTCCCACTGCCCAGGTACTTCGACTCGGTGGACATCTGCAAGGTGCATGCAGACTGGCAGGAGGCCCGGGTGCAAGGCTCCTTCCCCAGCTCTGCCAGCGGGCCCGTGGGGGTGACTGCGCTGACAGTGCTCGAGCGTGCCTCGCTGGAATTCGCCCTCTTCCAGGAGGGCAGCAGGTGGGCAGCAGGCCGGTGGCCTGGGGCAGGGCTGGGTCCACAACCTGCATGAGCCCAGCCTGCCCTTGCGGCCCCCAGGCGCGCGGATGCAGCCGACAGCCACCTGCTGGACCTGTGCATCCTGGTGTTCCGGGCCACCTTTGGCAGTGGCCGCCTGAGCCTGGGCCGCCTGCTGGCCCATAGCAAGCGCGCCGTCAAGAAGTTTGTGAGCTGTGACGTCATGCTCGAGCCGGGCGAGTACGCCGTGGTCTGCTGTGCCTTCAACCACTGGGGCCCCACGCCACCTGGCCCTCCTGCCGCAGCCACACAGGGTAACGGGAGACCAGGCGCTGCCCTCGCGCCCCGCCCGCCCCACGGGGAGGGCTGCCCGTTCCTTCACACGCCTCCCCCCGCAGCCTCCAGCCCCTCAGCGGGGGGCCCCCGGGGCGCTCCCGAGCCGCCCGGCCACGTGCTGGCGGTGTACAGCTCGCGGCTGGTGGTGGTGGAGCCAGTGGAGGCCCAGCCCACGACGCTGGCGGATGCCATCATACTGCTCACCGAGAGCCGCGGCGAGCGTCACGAGGGGCGCGAGGGCATGACCTGCTACTACCTGACACACGGCTGGGCGGGGCTCATCGTCGTGGTGGAGAACCGGCACCCCAAGTCCTACCTGCACGTGCAGTGTGACTGCTCTGACAGCTTCAACGTGGTGTCCACCCGGGGCAGCCTACGCACTCAGGACAGCGTGCCGCCCCTGCACAGGTGGGCGCCCCTGCCCGCCCGCGGCCGCCTTCTGCACGCCCCTTGGCCCCACCCCAGCCCCTCACCGGCCCGCTCCCCCAGGCAGGTCCTGGTGATCCTGTCCCAGCTGGAGGGCAACGCGGGCTTCTCCATCACCCACCGCCTGGCACACCGGAAGGCAGCCCAGGCCTTCCTCAGCGACTGGACAGCCTCCAAGGGCACCCACAGCCCCCCACTCACACCCGAGGTTGCTGGCCTACACGGGCCGCGGCCACTATGATCACAGCACCCTGATAGGGCTGTGTGGGCAGATAGCCCACCCCCACGTGCACTTTACGAGGGAGACCCCCATGGAGGACGCTTGAATCAGAATCTCAGGACCCTGCCCAGTGGGCACAGCTCCCACGGGCCTTCCCCCCACCCCCACGGCCCCACCCTGAGCACCCAGGGGTCTGCCTGGCCAGGGCCTCCCGGCCCCCAAGTAGATTACCTCGAACCAGGCTGCACGCTGGCCCAGGACAGCTCCAGACACTGGGCAAACTAAGGCTCCCTCCCCTGGAGGTGGGTTCTCTTGCCAGGCACTAGGGACAGGCAGCCCACGGGTCTGGGTGAGCTAGGGCTGAGGCCCAGGGTGAGTGCGGCTCCCTGGGAGCACAAGGTCTGAGGCCCGTCTTCCCGGAGCCCAGCTCCCTGTCCCCACGAGCGGGTGGGGGTCCCCAGAGGCCAGATGCACAGTGGGGGCCTGCCCTGAGCAGCACGGGGGAGGCCCGTCCTGCCCCCAGTGACACTATGCAATCCCTGGAACCCTCCAGGGTCCAAGCCATGACGCCCTAGGGGCGGGCGGGGGCCAGCCCTGCTGTCTGCCTGGGGCTCATCTTCAGTGCCACCCAGCCCATGGCCCGGCCGGCCCTACGGAGGATCCCCAGGCTGTCACCAGCCTCCACGGGGCAGGGCGCTCCCACCCCAGACACTGCCTGGCGTTGCCAGGGCACCTGTCTGCCATGGGCTTCTGAGCCTGGCCTCCTGGGTCCCTGCCCAGCAGCCCCTGCAGTGGCTCAGGTCCCACTGGGGTGTGTGGTTTTTACACCTAGAGAGACATTCCCCTCTCCTTTTACTCTGAGCTGTGAATATTTTTAACCCTGTAAATACGGCGAGCTCTTCAGACACAGAGACGTATTTTATCAGCTGTCAGCCCGTCCTTGGTGATTCTCCACGGTGGGCTCCAGACTCAGGCTCCAGCGGACCAAATAAAAGCGCTTTGTTTTGTAAGGAGGCCTCTTGTCTGAGTCTGCCTGGGCTGGCACCCTTTGGCAGGGAGGGCCCAGCCTGTGGGGTGTCGTGGGCAGGTGGGTCGTGCAGAGGGGTCCATGCCCTTGCCTCCAGTGAGCCCAGGACAGCCTCCCAAGGAGCCTCCAAGGAATGTCAGGGACCTGGGTGGGTGGAGACAGGCCAGCCAGACCCTCGCTCAGGCAGGTGGTGTGCACACTGTCCTGTGGGCCATCTGTGTCAGGGGCCCTGCCTAATCAAATCGGCCATCGGGCAGGAGCAGATGGGAGGGCCAGTGGTGGAAGGGCCCTCAAAGTGAGTGGCAGCGACCCTGGCCGGGCCCAGTCGGCCTCATCCCAGGGTGAGCCTTGCCCCCTGTCGCAGGACCGCCACCCCATCCGCGGCCTGGGCCTGGGCAGGGCTGCGGAGGCCCTCCCTGGGCAGCGGGGCGTTTAAAGAGCCCTGTCACGGGCTAGCCTATCGAATGTGAAAGCAATTAAAGCCACCAGCAGTGTTCGCTCCGGGCGGGCCTCGGGCGGCGGGGAGCTGCCACAGCACATCTCACCTCGGCACCCGCAGACGCCTGCCCTGCCGCACCGCGGCTGTGCCCACACTGGCCCTTCTCCCATGGAGGGGGCTGCCCCGCGCCCACTGTGGGCCTGACAGCCGGCCCATCTCCCCCAGCAGGACCCTGGACAGCCTGGGGCCCCGGTCCTCAGTCCCTAACCCACCCTCCCTTCCAACTTCTGCAACCTCTGGCCACAGGATGGCCCAAGAAGGACCCAGGCCCAGATGGGTCTCTGGCAGGCCAGCGTCTGCATGCCCACTCCTCAGCTGGTCCCAACCATCACCCACCCTCAAGGGGCCCAGCCTGTAGCTGCAAACCAGTCCAGGAGTCCCATAAGCTTGCCCCTTGGACAGGTGATGGGCAAGGAGGCTGGGCCCTAGAGGGGCACTGTGGGGTCTGAATGCAGAGCAGGGCAGGGGCCCAAGAGCTAGATGCTGGTGGTGCCCAGATCAGGATGGCCAGCTGGCCTGGTCACTGCTGGGGCAGCTCCTGGGGTGCTTGCCCAGCCTACAGGCAGTGAGGTGGCCTGGCCTGAGCTGGGGCCTCATTCTTGAAGCAGGGAGTGGACTTTGGGGGGCAGGGACCATTCTCCTCACTGTCAGGCCCGGCCCACTGCCCACCCTGACGCCCAGCCTCACTGGCTCCGGGGCCACTTCCCCTTCTCCTGTGCCTCCACTCCTGGACCTGTGCCATCACCGTGTCCCCAGCGCTCCCATCTGCCTGGCCCAGGCGGCCCTGTGCCCCTCACTGGCGTTGCCGGCTGCATGGCCTTCCCGGGGCGGGCGGCGGTGCGTTCTCACTTGTGAGGCGGCCCTGTCAGAAGCACTTAGTGTACAAATTAGCCGCGGCCTCCCTGCCTCCCCTGCACAGCTCTGGGCCCTGGGCTGCCAGGGCTGCAGCTCTGGGCCCTGGGCTGCCTGCCTGGGGCACAGGACACCCGCGTGGACCCCTGGCCAGCAGCCCTCGTCTGAGCAGGACGGCCTGACCCACTGGCTCCTTGGAAATGATCTGGACCTGGACAGAGCCCAGGTCAGGGTAGGGGCTTCCAGGGAAGAACTGGGGGGCCCCAAAGCCAAGGCCCAGCACCCAAGAGTGGCCAGCGATAGCGATGAAGGCTGTGGGGGACCAGGACGCCGGCCGGCAGGGGGGCCCACTGCCCCGCCCGCCAGCCGGCCTGCCACTCAGGCGGGGAAAATCTTCTGTGACAGGCCCAGGAAGGCCGGCCCTCGGGGCCGTGGAGCACGCACGCCGACTCTCTCTGCAGCATATGGCTGCTGTCGGCCCCAGGCGCTGCTCCACCAGTGCCAGGCTCGCCCGCCCCACCCACCCGGCCAGATGCCCCTCCCGTGATTCTGGAGGCCCGCTCGCTCGCATGCGTCCACCATGGCCTCACTCCCACGGCAGCCCTCTTGGCCCCTGTCTGTCCCAGCCCCCCAGGGCATGGAGAGCCAACCCTATACCCCAGGGCAGCTGGGGCTCTCGGGGAGGGGCACTCAGACACTCAGCAGTGGGCTGGGCTGGCCAGGGCCACCAAGTCACCAAAACAAGCCAGGCTGCTAGGGAGGGGCCCCTGTAGGACTAGGGAGCAGCACAGGGCCTCCCCCTAGCCTGTGCCAGTGCTGCTCAGCTGGGCCCCTCTCCCTGGGGTGGGCCGGCCAGGGCCCCAGGTGGGGAATGCCCACGAGTCCACATGTGCGTCACGTGGGCCCAGACGCTGCCTGCCCTGAGCCACCCCCCCATCAGTCTCCCTCCTCAGTCCCCTCACCCCCACCAGCATGGCCACCCCAAGTGGGCAAGGACGACCCATGGACGGCCTGTGCTCCTGTGCCACAATGCATCCCAGCTTCTCATGGAAGGTGGATCCCTCTGGGGTGCCATCAGAGTTGCTGCCGCTGAACAGGTCAGCTTGGGGTTCAGGCCCTGGCCACTAGCACCCACCTGGCTCTCCCCTATCCCTCTGCCCTCTGGGCCCTCCCAACCCCACACCTCTCCTGGCAAGGGCCATGTATGGACGCTGAGGGGGTGAGACAGGCTGCCCCTAGGCACTGCATTGCTGCAGACCCTGGCTGGCTGCAAGCCGGGACTCACACAGCCCGGCACTGATGGAGGTGACAGGCGGGCAGCCCTGGGCAGAACAGGCAAAGGAGGTTAATGGCTGAGATGAGCCTCTAGCTTGGGGCAGAGGGAGGGCCTTGGGGTTCCACCCTCCCTGCACCAGGACTACCTGGCTCCTCGGGGCCAGAAGCTCCCGATGTCCCCTCTAGTCTGCAGTTAGAGACAGGGCTAACTGTCGCATGAGTCTCGTGGGTTCAGCATTCCGAGAAGCCAAGCCCCAACCAGTCACTACCTCAGGAGGCAGGGACCACCCTGACACATTACCCAAGGAGTGCGGGCTGGGCTCGCTGAGGGAGCCCTGGGCGGACAGGGCTGCCCTGCCCTCCATGGTGCCGGCCATAGGCCTAGCACCCCTCACCCCACTCCTGGACACATGCCAGCTGTGCTCTGGGGACCGTTCCAAGGGAGCCCAGGCCTCATCCTCTTCACGCAGACCTTCCTCAAGCCTGGAGACACCCCAGTGGTGGCCCTGGCTCCCCCTCGCACCCTGATTTCTGCAGAGGTTGCTGTGTGGGGCTGCTTTTCAGACCCCCTCCTGTGCCCTGGCCTCCCCCCGCAGGGATGCCCCAGGACCTAGGCTTCACCGGGCTTTACTGCCCATGCACAGGACCAGGGCGCCTGGCTACCTTCTTTCTCCGAGGTGAAGGCCACGGCCGCTAGGCAGCCTGTCCCAGGCTCTGCTGGCACCACCACTCAGATCCTCGGTAAGGGCCCAGCCAGGGCTCTATCCACGCACTCCTCTCAGGGTGGCCCAGCTCTGGCCTCTGGGGATCGCCTGTGCCAAAGGGCCCAGGCCTGGGGGAGCGTGTCAAGTGGGCTCTGTGCAGAGGGGCTCTGCTCTCCATGGGCACACTCGGCGGGGCCGGGCCAGGTGGGCAGGGGCCAGCGTGCTTGTGCTGCCTGCACCACCTCCCCAGCCCAACTTGGCAGGGGGCACCGACCAGGTCCTAGCCCAGAGCCAGGGCCTATTCCGTATGGATGCACCGTGTGCTTGACCGGGCTCCAGCGACCCCTGGGGGTCCCCCTGCACAGGAAGGGAACCGAGGCCTGGCCCTTGGGGCCCAGGAGTCAGGAGGCCACGCCCAGAAGTCAATAGGGATCCTCCCTCCTGCCCTGTCCCCTGACCTGGGCTACCCCAGCAGGTGGTAACTGGCCTTAGGAAGCCTCGGGCTTGGGGTGCCAAGCAGTCCCCAGTGGCGTCTGTCTCACCGTCTGCTGAGGCCGAGCCTGAAATGCCACGTCACGTGTCTCTGAGCAAAGGCGGCTCTTGGAGAGACAATCTCTGGCTCGGCCCCAGCTCGTCCGTGTCCATATGCAGGGGAGAGCTGGCTGGTCAGGCGAAGTTCTCACGGACTCGGAGGAGGGGGCCAAGGCCTGCTGGTCCTGCCCTCACCTCCCTCAGGACCTCCCAGGAGGAGTGGCCAGTGGGGAGGGGTGCTGCCCTGGGCACCTCCCTGGGCTGGGAAGGCATGGCGGCCAGCTGGAGGTGGCCACCAATGGGCAGGGCAGGGACGTGCGGGTGCTCGTCTGTTTAGCCGCCTGTTTGCAGATGAGGAGGCAGCACCAGGCAGGGCTTGCCCAGGGAGAGCTGGTGGAACACAGCTCAGCTCTGAGCGCAGCTCCCCCAGGCTCTGGTTGACACCCTCTGTCCTGGAGCTCAGCCCCCGGCCCTGACCTGGGTGGGCAGTCGCTGTCAGGGGCCAGACCCTGACAGATGCGGGCTGGCGGCCCCTCTCCTGCGCCCTCCTAGCTGACACCCCATCACACCACTGTGAGGACCCCGGGAGACCTGGCCGCCTCCGTGCACCCCGCAGCAGCCTGCAGGCGTCGGGGGCGGGGACGGTGCCAGGCGCCCCTCACTCGCCGGCTGCACCTGCGCCGCCACTCCTGGCTTGAGCGGCGCTGCCAGAGCCACCGGCCAGCGCTCCATGCAGGACTCGCCCTGCGCGCCTGCGAGCACTGAGTGCGAGGTGAGTGCACCTGCGGGAAGGGGCTGGGGAGCCAGGGGAGACTGGCCAGGCCGCGCCTTCCCGGAGCTGCCGGACCCCTCCCCCGCGAGTCCGGGTCGGAGGTCGCAGCGCCCCCCGGAGCCGGGAGCCGCGGCGCCCGCGCGGC